CGTTTCGTGACCCCACAAGGAACCCCTCCGAAGGCCCCAATGCCAGCGTTCGCGTGCGCCCACCGCGCCCATTTTAGCATGCCCGTCACACGCTTCGGGGCCCCATAGGGAGCCTCACCAAAAGGCTGAAATGCCAGCGTTCGCATGCGCCCACCGCACCCATTTTGGTACACCCCTCGCACGTTTCGTGGCCCTTTGAGGGAACCCTTCCGAATGCCCACATGCCAGCGTTCGCATGCGCCCACCGCGCCCATTTTGGTACACCCCTCGCACGTTTCGTGGTCCTTTGAGGGAACCCTTCCGAATGCCCAAATGCCAGCGTTCGCATGCGCCCACCGCGCCCATTTTGGCACACCCCTCACACGTTTCGGGGCCCCGTATGGAGCCCCACTGAAGGCCCAAATGCCAGCGTTCGCATGCGCCCACCGCACCCATTTTGGAACACCCGTCACACGTTTCGTGGCCCCACACGGAGCCCCACCGAAGGCCCCCATGCCAGCGTTCGCATGCGCCCACCGCGCCCATTTTGGTACACCCCTCACACGTTTCGTGTCATAGAGAGCCTCACCAAAAGGCTGAAATGCCAGCGTTCGCGTGCGCCCACCGCGCCCGTTTTGGTGCACCCCTCGACAATCTTCGACGTGCGACAGGGAGGAGGAGGAGGAGGAGGAGGAGGAGGAGGAGGAGGAGGAGGAGGAGGAGGAGGAGGAGGAGGAGGAGGAGGAGGAGGAGGAGGAGGAGAGGAGGAGTAGGAGGAGGAGGAGGAGGAGGAGGAGGAGGAGGAGGAGGAGGAGGAGGAGGAGGAGGAGGAGGAGGAGGAGGAGGAGGAGGAGGAGGAGCAGGAGGAGGAGGAGGAGGCAGGAGGAGGAGGAGGGAGGGAGGAGGAGAGGAGGAGGAGGAGGAGGAGGAGGAGGAGCAGGAGGAGGGCAGGAGGAGGAGGAGGAGCAGGAGGAGGAGGAGGAGGAGGAGGAGGAGGAGGAGGAGGAGGAGGAGGAGGAGCAGGAGGAGGAGGAGGAGGAGGAGGAGGAGGAGGAGGAGCAGGAGGAGGAGGAGGAGGAGGATGAGGAGGAGGAGGAGGAGGAGAGGAAAAGGAGGGGGATTGGCCAGAGATCGCGCGCATGCCTCCCACCCCGTCATCAGGATTGTCCTGGGTGGGATGCTCAACTGCGCGCCCCTTTGCCGCCCAAATCTGCCTCAATACGCGGCCCCCCCTCGACGCATCGGCGGGCTTCTCGACTGGCGGGTGGTGTCCCTGCGCGTCCACACTTGGCGCCTGGCAGCCCGACCGGGCAGGCGCCTGCGCGCGCGCGGGCGGGGGCCTCACGCGGGGCTGGCGCAGCTGCATCGCGTCCGTGGGGGGCCCTCGGGCATGCGACGTGTGCCCCCCCCTTGGGCATCGTCAGGGCGCGGGGAAATCGGGACCGAGGCACCGCGCCGCGTCCCGCAGGCCGACGCAGCTGCGTCGCGTCCGCGGGGGGCTCTCGGGCGTGCGACGGGTGGCCCCCCCGCTGGGGCCGGCCGCGCCGCGCGCGGTGCCGAAGGCTGCGCCGCGCCGGCGGGGGCCTCCCTCCGCGAGGGGGCGGCTCCTCGGGCCACGCTGGGGGGGCGGAGCCGGCCGCGGAGTGCGCACGAGGCGGGCGAAGAGGACGATGCACACGCCCCGCTCCTGACCAAGCCCATCCTGAGCCCTGGCACGGTGCAGAGGCCTCCCTCGCCGAGCCAGGAGGGCGTATGAGACGCACCGATCCTGGGCCTAGGAGGGGCCCAGCCACAAGGTGTGTGTGTGTGTGTGTGTGTGTGTGCGCGCATAGTTCTCTGTCCTCCAGCGTGTGCAAACGAGTGCGAAGTTCCGTGGTTTCACGTGCGAGTGGCCTTCAGCAAGCCCCGGGGGCAGCCGCAGGCGTGTCTTCGCGCGGGGAGCAGCCCTCCCCCCCCAAGAGAACCCCAAGGGCCGCCGTAGACTCTGGTGTCGCGTGGGCAGCAGCCTGTTGCAAGCTCGGGGGTCCGCCGCAAATCTATTTTTTGACGTGCGGACCACTCTCCACAGCAAGCTGCACGGGGCGCCTTGGGCGTAGTGTCGCGTGATGTGCACCCTCCAGCAAGCCCCATGGCCCGCCACAACGCGTTTTTTTGTAATGTAATGTCCCAGTGGCCGCCCGCAGCTGTGCTTGCCCGTGTCCAGCAAGCCCCAGGGGTTTTCGAAAGCCTGGGGATCCTCCCGGGCGGGGCGTCGGGGAAGGCGTGGGATCCCCCCTCCCGCCGGGGAAGTTGCGCTGGGGAGGCACTGGAGCCCCCAGTCACGATTCTATGCGTGGAACTTCCTTGGGATGATCTCTTAGGCCGTTTGGAGGGTGTACGGGGAGGTTGTCTGATTTGTGCTGCGCACCTAGACGAAGGCGGCGCAGCTAGCGTCCTTGCGTCGCTCGGAGGTGGGCCAGATTGATCTCGCCCGCTCCGTCGTTCTTCTGCCGCTCCGCTGAACCGACCAACGGTCGCTCGCGCCTGACGACGCTAGTCGGGTGCGGCGCTCGCTCCAGGGAGGATGAGAAGGAGGAGGAGGAGGCGGAGGAGGAGGAGGGGGGGAGGAGGATGAGGAGGAGGAGGACCAGTGCAAGCCCAAGACGCATCAACGATATTGCAATCCATCCTTCTTCCAAGTTCGCTCTTCGTAGGCTCCTACAGGTATTCATTTTCACTAGGGGAAATGCCCCGTTGGAGGACAACCGTTTGAAAATTCAAAGTGGTGCCATAACGCCGCGAATCACCGTTACTGTTGCGTCTTGACGATCCTGAATCGTGCCAGAACACCATTCTTGGGACGTCAGCTCATCGAATCAACGTGACTGTTGCGCCCTGACATGGCGGCATCGTGCCCTCACATTATTTCTTGGACGTTCGCCGTGCTCATCCTTGAAATTGCTGCAAGCTCTGAAGACGAATGTGCGCGGTGTGAATGCGAGAGCAACATTAAAAGGAGCCGCCCTCCATCCGTGAAGCTCCTGAAGACCTTTAAGACAAGTGTGCGCGGCGCTAAGGCAAGAGCCTCAGTTTAAAAAGGAGCCACCCTCCATCCGTGAAACTCTTGCCAACTTTTGAGACGAACGTGCGCGGCGCTAATAGGATAACCACAGTTCGAAAAGGAACCTCCCTCCATTTGTGAAGCTCTTGAAAACTAACGCGGCGCCAAGGCGAGAACCACATTTTGAAAACGGGCCGCACACCATCCTTGAAATCATTGCAATGTTCAAAAAATGGATATGCGCGGCGCTAGATGGGAGAGCCACACTTTGAAAATCACCCGCGCTCCATCTGAGAAACTATTGTCAATTTTCTGCTTTAGACTCATAAGTGGTGAGGATGTCTCAGGCAGCACGCCCGGCCTGCCCTTTCGACCGGCCGGGGGGTGCGATAGGGAGGAGTTATCTTCAAGGAGAAGGAATGAATGAGGAGTAGGAGGAGGGGGAGGAGGAGGAGGAGGAGGAGGAGGAGGAGGAGGAGGAGGAGGAGGAGGAGGAGGAGGAGGAGGAGGAGGAGGAGGAGGAGGAGGAGGAGGAGGAGGAGGAGGAGGAGGAGGGGGAGGAGGAGGGGGAGGAGGAGGAGGAGGAGGAGGAGGAGGAGGAGGATGAGGAGGATGAGGAGGAGGAGGAGAAGGAGGAGGCAGAGGGGCGATCCGCCAGTGTTTCCGTTACTGGAGTGAGTTTTCATCCCGCATGCGCCTGTTGTTTTCACCGTGTCGTAGTTGTCAGTTGTTCTTGTGCGAGTGTCTCAGTAGAGCCATGGCTAGCAGTGTAACGCGTGTGGCTATTTCAATTTCGGGTTTCGGCCAGGTTGCAGGAAGGCGCAGTGTGATTGGTGTCGTCCTTATGCGCCTGTGCCCGCTAATTTGCACACTCACGCTCGCGGTCAGTAGACTAGCGGTCCGCCAGTGTTCGTGCTTTGAGGAGGGAGTCAGGGGAATTATAATCAGTCCAGTACACTTGGCTGTCCCAAAGATTACGCGAAGCTCACAGATACACAGTTGGCTCCTTGGCTCTATGTTGCAGAGGAACAGCTTGAAGCAGCGTGCCGAGCCTTGGATCCCACTGCCAGGGACCGTCTCTGAGGCCAGCGATGGCGTGCCAAGCTCGGCTTGGGTCACATGGTTTCCGTGCAGCAGCTCATGTCAGTGTAGACGGCAGTTGATCAGAAGGCCGAACATCTCCTCGCCGCCCAGACTACGCTGGGCAAGAAGGAGAGGCACGCGCGCGAGGCCGTGTCGGCCTTGTGTGACCATCGGGTAAGATTTTTTAAGCTGGACGAGGAGGTTAAGTGTCTCATGCAGGAGGCTCGGGAGGCTGCGGCGGGGAGGGAACCTGCGCCCGCGCCTCCCGCTTCTCCAAAGGGGGTCGCGTCCATGGCCACCGAACTCACGAACGCCATGCAGGCGGTGCCGCACAGCGTGTTCGGGCCGCTCGAGGCCCCGTTGTGGGCCCTGCTCTCTGCGCTGGCGCCCGCAGCGCCCGCGGGCCCAGTCGCCCCCGGTGCTACCGCCGTGGCAGCCGCCCCCCCCGGCAAGAGCAGGAGGGGCAGCAGCAGAGGCGGCGGCAGATCGTGCAGCATATGTTCTTGGTCCTGCCCCTGGTGTCCCGGCTGCTGTCGCAGGTGTTGAGCAGGTGCAGGCTGTGGAGCAGCATATTGGTTCGTCCGACTCTGAAAAGGCGGTGGCGACGACAGTTGGGCTCACGGTGGCGAGCCCGCCACGTTCGGTGCAAAGCGTGCCATCGAAGACCAGACCTGGCTGGATATGCTCGAGGCCTGTGAGGGCGACCGTGTCAAGTTGGTCGCCGTCGCCTTGCTGCGCGACGCGATGCCGAAGAAGCCTCGTGTTTAGCATCTCGTAGCCCATCGTGACGGTCAATAGGAATGCCTCACCGTTGCTTGCTAGGCCCGAGTTTATTTGCCCTGAGGCCCTACTCGTTTATGAGACCCACTTAGGCGTGCCTCGATGCTCGGATGTGGAGGCCGAGCTGGTGCGCATGGGCTGGCATGCAGCGGCGTCGCCTGCCGCGGACATCATTCCCGGTGGCGCTGGGCATGGTGGCCTGCTGACCAGGGCGCCCCACAGCCATGGCCCGGGCAGGCTGGGCACGATGAAGTCGGAGGTGTTTGTCCCAGGTCGCATCTTTGTCCTGTGACATTCGGGCAAGCCTGGTCAACATTTTGTTTCAGGGATGCGGCGCGTACGGTGAAGTCGAAATTGATGTACGCGCCTGCGGACTTTCTCAAATGCGCCTGAGGTGATTTCAGTTGCTCTCCAGAGGCGCCCCAAGAGTGGACAGTCTTGGGATGTTTTGAGGCCGAGCCAGTGAAGCCGTCGGGCGCACCGACCGCTATATCTCGGTCTCTAATGTCTGCGCTGTCGCATCGGTCGAGCCATTGTCTGAATCTCAGGTCAGCGCGGACTCCCATGTACCAGTTCGGCTCGGCCTATCGGTGGATGTTGCGCGGCCGCGCGCGCGCGTCGTTCCCCTGCGTCGCCCGTTTCCCATTGCCAGGCCCGCTGGGCGTTTTACGTATGATCATGAGGTGCCCTGTGCCCCCGCGCGAGAGAAGGTTGGCGAGGCTTTGGCGTCTGGGGGCGACGGCGAGGGCCTCGCCCGAACCTGGGATATTTTGTGAGCCAGGTTGAGCGTGAGTTCTATGACATCTTCGATGTAGGGGATGATGATGCACGTGGGTGCGTTGGTCGGGGCAGATTTCTGCTGGCGAAGTAGGTTCCCGTTTTGGCCCCTTGATCCCCGCGTGCCCAATTGTCTCCGCCGAGCGCGTTGACGGGATAACCTGGCGGCGAGTTTGCATTTTGCCGCTGCGTGTGCGCAGCAGCTCGCGCGCGCGTCCGCGCTGCGGTCCATCGGCAAGTTGTTGACCCAGGCTCCCGCCCGCGCCCGAGCAGGAGCGGCGCCTGCTGGAGGTTGGTGGCTAATTGTTCTAAAGCTGGAGGTCGGCGCTCTGGATTGCGATTTCCGGGGGTTTTTCTCTGCGGCGTTTCGTGGCGAGGCCCTCTAATTGAGGGTCGCAAGACGTCCTTCGGGCGATGGGTCTCTGAGCAGGCTGGGGGGGGGAGCTGGGGCCCTGCGCGCGCTCGCTAGGGCGCCCGCGAGGTTGCGCGAGAGCACGAAGGAAGCCCCGCTGTTGCCGAGGGATATGCAGAGGAAAGTTGACAGGCTTCAATTGGGATGGGGCAGGTGGTGGAGGATGGGCGAGCGGCATCAGGGCCTCGCGTAGCTTCCTTGATCGGGGGCAGCGTGCGGGGCGGCCCGCGCGTGGTCCTGGAGCACTCTGGGATGTTTTCCTGCGTGCTCGGGCATTGCCAGCCTGACGCGTTGCGCCATTATGTTCTGGAGTTTTTTGGCTATGCGTGTTTAAACCAATATGGAAATAGTTTTGTGTTTTTTTTGTTCTCGGGCATCCTGTCCGCCGTGGAGGGCGCGGCCGAGTGGCCCGCTACCTCCGCGAAGAGCGCGTGTCTGGCAGCGAGGCTCGGGTGCGCGCGGCCGATAGCTTTCTTGCATGTGCTCGCTCGAGTTCAGGCGCGACTGTGCCGTCGGAGCGATCGGGCCGCCCGAAGGGCCTCCGAGGGTATCTCGTGCGATCGAGCGGTCTGGCAGCGCGCTTCCCGGTAGGGATATGCTGGCGACGAGGCCAATGGTGCACCTATTGGTGTTTGGATTTCTGGAATAGTGCCTCTTTATTCTTTGAAGTCCTTGGAACAAGTGGGTCATCGCTGGCTTCTCGAGGCAGCAATGGCGCGGGGGGGCATTGTGGCAGCCGAAGATTCAGGTTGCTTTGCGCTGTGCCGAGCGGTGCGTCTGCGCCGGGCAAGTTCCCCCCCCGCCGCTGGGGGTCGAACTGGCCAGTCCCTGGTGGCGGCTGGGCGAAGTGATTTTTTGAAGGTGGTCTTCGCTCGTCCGTTTTTTTAAGGCATGCAGATTGCATCGCGCCGTTGCCCGTCGGTCGCGGTCCGCGATCTCCTGCCTCGTCGTTTCGGGGGCCGCCGGAGGGTCGCCAGGGGGCTCGCGCAGGCATGCCTGGATCTCAGGGGGGCCCTCGCGGTTGTGGATTACAACGTGCAAGTGGAGAAGACTCGGGCGCTCCGCAGCGACGTCTCCGTTTGGCCGACAGCGACGCGACTCTCTCGGGAAGATCTCGGGGCGAATGCTGCTGCCCAGCAACGCAATGGCGGCGTCGATTTCGCGCGTGGACGACATCTTGGATGGAGTGTTCGACGGTCGCCGTGCTCTGGGGCGTGCCAGCGCCTGAGGCGCTGAATAATTTGCGCGGGGCCTGTCATGCGTCTGGCCGCTGAGATGGTGGACGCCGCCCGAAGCGAGGTCTTTGCCGCCCTGTCTGGGGCCCGGGCATGTCCGGGGCCCTTAGCCTTGCTTTTGGAGAAGAACGCGGTTCCCATCTAGACGGCCACTCTGATGCCCGTTCTCACCTTTTGCCGCGCCGCGTGGGAGAGGCGCGCGGCGTCGCGCGCGGCGCGGAGTGGCATGGGCGGGGCGTCTAGGGCCACCTGCCGGACCCAGGTCAATAGGCCATCTAGCGTTTGCAAGCGCATTCTCAATTGGATCGGATGGGCGATGCTGTCTCCTACTGCGTCGGAGACGCCCGCGCGGGTCTAGCCGATTTATCTTGCGCGCGTCTCCTGGGGCTGTTCGTCGGCGTTCAATGCGTGCTGTGAAGGCTTTGTAGTGGCAGGAAGTTTTGAGAGATCAGGATTCGCGGCGCTTTGGGGGTGGGGCGGCCTGGGGCTCTCTGGTAGAACTTGTTCCAGGCCGACCTCAGGGGAGTCAATCGCGAGCTGTCGACCCTCGGGCCTGGGGCGCGAGGGCATCTTGGATCTGTTATCGTCATCGGACAATGGCCGCTGGATCGCAAGCGTGCTGCCCTGTCCAGTGAATGCCCTGTGTGCCGCGAGCCCGGCGCACTAGGGTCATGAGTGCGCGGCCGCAGCCCGCCCCGTCGCCGCTCTCTGCCCAGGCGGGGAAAACGGAGTTCAGGATGTTGTGACTGCCCGTGCTCGCGTGATATTCCTGATGTAGATGGTGCCGAGCTTGCAGCCCTGGCTTTCCTGTTGCGAGTTTCGAACTCACCTGTCTGTGCAGTTGCCGATATTGATTTTGTGTATCTCGGCGTCGCGGTGCGCGGGCGTGCTGGCGCGACGTCGCTCAAGGCTGCTGAGGCCTCCCCGTGGTAGGAGTTCTTGCGCCTTCCAGAGGACTTCGGAGGTCTATCAGTCAGTGGAGCAAGTTGGGCATCGGTTCGGGGGGGGGGGGCGGGGCAGCGCGTTGACGCGCGCGACGCGACGCGCGTGAGCAAGCGCGCGCGCGTGTGTGCTCCCGCCGTCCAGGTCGTGTATTCATCGCTCGTGCGTGATTTGATCGGTCCGCCCTCTCGCCCCTGGTGCTCTCGATGTAGGCTCGCGGCCCCTGCCCCTCCGACCTGCGGGGGGTCGATTGCGAGTCCAACGGCGGGTGACCAACGTCTCGTCGGGGAGCGAGGTGGGAGGAAGGCGCGGGCTCGTGTCTTTTTGAGGGGGGGCGCCGCTGCTGCAGGCCACCCGCCCCGTCGATGGATGCCTCCAATGTGGCGCTCATAGCGCGAGGCAGCTCAGGTGGTTTCTCGTGTCATGTAAGCCCCCAGGGGCAGGTTTTCCCCATGGGGTTTGAAGCCCGAAATTCCCGTCATGTTGATTGATTTGGACTGGTCTTGCTGCCTTGCATGTTGCGGCCCTCGGATGGGGGCTCCAGGGTGTCGGCCAAAAAAAAAAGGACATTCATGGGGCATTCCTGGGGTGACGTTATCGGATGGTTAGCTCGCGCTCGGCCCCCCTTAGCTTTAAGCCTGGAGCGCGGTATAGGTCGCGTCGTCGGCGGCGGGTGCCCTGGCGCGCGCGGCTGGCGCCCCTGCGTAGGCGGGCGCGCGGCCTCGACGTGGCGCGGCCTTGCCCGCGCTGGCTGGGCGTCTTGGCGGAGCACGTCGGGCCTCTCCTGCAGTCCTTGCCGCGGGCCTGCACGCCCGTTCGCCCAAGGCGGCGCCGTTGGCCGCGGGTTCGGCGGGGCCGCGGGAGGCTGCGCGGGCAGGGTGCTCGCTGCCGTCCTCGCCGTCGGTAGGCGGCCCTCGCGCAGCCGCCAGCAACCGCGTTGTCGGGTTTCTCCTCGGCCTGCGAGCTCCGCGACTCCGAGGGCCGTGGCGGTTCCCCCGCAGCCGCCGCATTTGCTTCAGCCTCTTGCGGCGCCGCCCCCACTTCGCTGGCCTCCGACGCCGCGCTGCGACCGCTCGTTGGCGCGGCGGGGGCGGCGGGAGCGGCCGTGGGGGTCCCGTTTGTGTCGGCCTGGGTGGTCCACTATTCCGCGTGTGCGGCGCGGGCCCTGTCCTTCAGCTTGTTCTGCATCGACTTGTGTCTCGCCCGCTTGCGGCACACCTCCCGCATATTGGCCGAGATCCGCTCACTCGCCGAGGCCGTGCACGGCGTGCAGAACTAGCGCCTCTCTTGAGAGACACCTCTTTGGCGCGAGACGGCCCCCCTCACTTTGGCCCGGAGGTCTCTGTTGGCCCCCGCGCGGTCGGTGGACTCCTGTTTTTTGAAGTGCCAGGCGACGCAGGTGATCTCGCTGTCCGTCCAGAAGCACAGCGGGCCTGGCGTGGACTCGAAGCAGCAGTTGATGAACGCCCGCAGCTCTGGCAGGGGCCCGAGCTTTCAAGCGCGCATGGCTAAGTCCTGTGAGCGGCCTTGCGTGGTGAACACATTTCAGCCCAAGCCGCAGCGCCTGTAGCGGTCGTCGTGGCTGTACTCCCCTCCCGAGCCGTCGTCGCTCGCGTCGAGGAGAGGAGAAGAAGGAAGTGGAGGAGGAGGCGGAGGTGGAGGAGGAGGAGGAGGAGGAGGAGGAGGGGAAGGATGAGGAGGAGCAGGAGGAGGAGGAGGAGGTTGGCGGAGGAGGGAGGAGGAGGAGAAGGAAGAGGAGGAGGAGGAGGAGGAAGAGGAAGAGGAGGAAGAGGAGGAAGGGGATGCTGCTGATGATGATGATGATGATGATGATGATGATGATGATGATGATGATGATGATGGTGATGATGATGATGAGGATGATGATGATGATGATGGTGATGAT